CACTGTCTCCTGTATCCCCAATGTCACTTGTGTCCCCCAAGTCCTCCCATACCCCCAGGCCATGCCATAGCTCCCCCGTGTCACCTCATGTCTCCATGTGTCCTCCTCCAGGTCATGCTCCTGTATGTCCCGAACCTGGCCAAGGCTGTTGGCTCTTCTGAAACACTCCTGGAACTGCTGGAGCAGGCCAAGACAGGGACACTGGCAGGGCCACCATCACCTGTTACCCCCTGGGGCCACAAGACCACACAGACCCGAGGGCTGTGCCTCAAGGATGTCTGGATGTCATACCCTGGGCGGTCCGAGCCAGTCCTCAAGGTGCTGGGTGACACGGGGACATGGGGGGACATGGGGGGGTTGTGAACATGGGGGCACATGGGACATGGGGGGACAAGGGGATACTGGGGACATGGGGACAACATGGGGAAACGGGGATAAGGGGATATTGGCGGCTTGGGGAGGACATGGGGGCACATGGGACATGGGGAAGCACAGGACTTGGGGGGATATGGGACAGGGCCACAAGGGGATATTGTGGACATAGGGGCACGTGGCATATGGCAGGACAAGGGGATACTGGGGACATGGGGAAACATAGAGGGACAAGGGGATATTGTGGGCATGAGGGCACATGGGACATGGCAGGACAAGGAGATATTGGGGCTGCAGGGGGGCACATGGGAGGTGGGGGACAAGGGGCTATTGGGGCCAGGGGGCACATGGGACACGGGGGACAAGGGGCTGTTGGGGTCAGGGGAGACATGGGACATGGGGGGACAAGGGGATATTGAGGACATAGGGGGACACATGGGACATGGCGGGACAAAGGGCTATGGGGGCCAGGGGGCACATGGGACATGGGGGACAAGGGGATATTGGGGCCAGGGGGCACATGGGACATGGGGGACAAGGGGATATTGGGGCCAGGGGGCACTTGGGGCGCGGGGAGGTGTCGGGTGCGATCCCTGCTCCTGCCACCAGGGGGTGTCGCTGTCGCTGCGCCCCGGGGAGGTCGTGGCCGTGCTGGCGCCCCCTGGCGGCGGGAAGAGCTCCCTGGTGGCGGCCGCGCTGGGGCTGCGCCCCCTGGCGGGCGGGGCGGTGCTGCTGAACGGGACCCCCCTGACCCCTCACTCGGACCCTGCTCTGCGGGAACAGGTGACACACACGGGCCACCCCCGGGCCACCACGGCCACCCCTAGGTCACCATCCATCCCTTGCTGCTGTTCCCCTGTCACCAAACCTCTCCATTGTGTTCCCATGGCCACCCTGGGCAGCCTTTTGTCCGCAACAGGTCCCCACAGCCGCCCCTGGGCCCACACCTGGTCTTCAACAGGCCCCCACTGCTACCCTCAGGTGACTCCTGCGCCCCAAATGGGTCCCTACTGCCACGCCAACATCACCCCTGTGTGCCCAGTTCCACCCCTGTGCCACCAGTGGGTTACCATGGCTACCCCAGTTCAACCATTGTCCCAACACCCATGGCTACCATGTGACCCTATGTCCTCAACACATCCCCATTGCCACCCCCAGTCACTCCTGTGTTCCCAACAGTTCTTCACAGTCACCCCTGTGTCATCAGCCAGCCTCACCATGACCCTGCCACCACCCCATGTCTCCACATGTCCCCTCCTTGTCCCTGCCAGATCGCTGAGTGGTCCCATGGTCCTCCTTGTTCCCCTATGTCCCCTGTCCCCGCAGGTGGCTGGTGTCCTGCAGTGTCCGTCCCTCTTGTCCCGCTCCCTCAGCGCCAACATCGCGCTGGGCTGGGGACACAAGGAGGGGACCCAGGTGACAGCAGCGGCGCGGCGGGTGGGGGTGCACACTTGGGCCAAGCAGCTGCCACATGGCTATGACACAGGTACAGCCAGTGCTCCCGTGGTCCCCCTGTGGTGTCTCCAGTGTGTTCCAAAGATGTCCTTAAAGTGTCCCAATAACGTGTCCAAGGTGTCCCCTTGCTCTCCCTAGTTTTCCCTGTGTGTCCCCATTGTGACCCCATTATGTCCCCGTAGTGTCCCCATAGTGTCCCCTGCTGTTCCCATGATGTTGCTTCACCATCCCCAAGGTGTCTGTAGTGTCCCCACAGTCTCCTTACCATGTTCCTTCTGTCTCCTCACTATTCCCTCACTGTCCCCATGCTGTCCCCTCCATGTCCTCTCTGCTACCTCGCTGTTCCCTCACTGTCCCATCTCTGTTCTCCCTGTGTGCCCCAGAGCTGGGGGTGCAGGGGTGTCCTTCCTAACATGACTCCCGTGTCTCTCCTTGGTGTCCCAAGTGTGTCTCCATGGTGTCCCCTCAGTGTCCCCGTGCTGTCACCACAGCATCCTGTTGTCCCCTTGCTGTCCCCTCTGCCTCCTCCCTGTCCCCGGAGCAGTGGGTGCACAGTGGGTGCAGCTCCCCAGTGTGTCCATGCAATGTCCCCATGGTGTCCCCACAGTATCCTTGTGGTGTCCCCATGGTGTCCCCTCTGTCCGCAGAGGTGGGCCCACGGGGGATGCAGCTTTCAGGGGGGCAGGCACAAGGGGTGGCACTGGCCCGGGCCCTGCTCAGGAACTCCCAAGTGCTGGTGCTGGATGAGCCCACGAGGGCACTCGACCCCATGACCCGGAGCCAGGTAGGCCACAGCCCTGGCCCTGTGTCCCACAGCCCCATCCCCTGGGTCCCTATGTCCTCTGAGTCCTCACTCCCTGTGTCTCCTGGGTCCCCAGTCCTCATGTCCCCCATATGCTTTGTCCCCTGGGTCACCATGTCCCCTGGGTCCCTACTCCCCATGTCCCCTTGGTTGCTGCCCCCAGGTCCCCTGGGGTCTCCTAGGTGACCAAATTCCCTGGATCCCTGCCCCTGTGTCCCTTTGGTCCCTATGTATCCCCTAGGTCCCTTCCTTGTCCCCATGGTCTCTGGGTTCCCAATCCCCATGTCCTTTGGGTCCCCAGTCCTTGTGTCCCCCATGTGCCCCATGTCCCCTGGGTCCCCACTGCCCGAGTGCCCTGCATCCCCTCTGCTCCCACTCCCTGTGTCCCCTTTGTTCCTAACCCCCGTGTCCCCTGGGATCTCCTGTGCCAGGTCTCCTGGGCCACCAAATCCCCCAGGACCCTGCCCCTGTGTCCCCTTGGTCCCAATGTCCCCACCTACCCTGGATCCCCACATCCCTGGGTCCCTGTCCCACATGACCCCAATCCCAGAGTCCCCTTTGTCCCAATGTCCTCTGGGTGCACATGTCCCCACTCCCCAGGTCTCTGCTCTCCACCCGGGGTCCCCTGCCACCCCCACGTCCCCCATCTCCACCATGTCCCCCCGTGTCCTCATTGCCCTGCCCCTGGCGTGTCCCCGCAGGTGGAGCAGGAGCTGCTGTGTTCCGGGACAGGGGAGGGGCCGGCAGTGCTGCTGGTGACAGGGCGGGTGGCCCTGGCACAGCGGGCACAGAGGGTGGCCCTGCTGGAGGGGGGAAAGCTGCGGGAGCTGGAGAGCCCCGAGGAGCTAAGGACCCTCCCGTGGGGGACAGCGGGGGACACTGAGGACGGGGAGGGGGATGACTAGGGCTGGGAGGGGGACACTGGGGATGGAGACCGTGAGAACAGGGATGAGGATGCTGCAGGACGAGGGGCAGTGGGGAACAGGGATGGGGACACCGTGGGGAGGGGGTGACTTCGGGGCCCGGGCTGCGACAGAGACCGGGTGCGAGGTCAATCAGTACATCTAGAAACCTGTGCAACAACAAATCAATAAATCAAACAATAAAGGCGTCGGGAGTGGGGCTGGGGCCGGGACCCCCCCGGCGGGGCCCCGCCGCCCCTCCCCCCCCATGAGCTCATCGTGTTGATGGAGAAAATTCCTTGGCGGGGGCGGGGGGACACGCGGTGGGGGGGACACGGAGGGGAGAGGAGGGCGAGGACCAGGGGAGGGTATCGGGGGGACACGGGGCGCTCCCCCCGCTCTGCTCCTGCCCACGCCTGCTGCCCCCCTCCACAACTCCCCGGCCTTTTGGGGGGCCCCAGGAGCCCCCCCGCTGTTGTTGTTGCTGCCGGGGCAGTGAGTCACAGCCACGCCCGGGAGGGGTTGTGCTGGGGCACTGGGAGCACTGGGATGAGCCACACTGGTGTTACTGGGAGCCCTGGGTCGCGCTGTGCCACAGTACTGGTGTTACTGGGAGCATTTGGACAGACTACACTGGTGTAACTGGGAGCACTGGGGTGGACTGTGCCGTGTTGCTGGTGTCACTGGGAGCATCAGGATGTGCTACGGGGAGTCACGGGTTAGGCTTACTGGGGTTTTGGGGGCTGCTGGTGTCACTGGAATGGGCCATGCTGGTGTCACTGGGAGGACTGGGGTGAGCTGTGCCGCATTACTGGTGTCACTGGGAGCACTGAGGCTATACTGGTGTCACTGGGAGCCCTGGCACCGACTGTACTGGGGCTCCTGGGAGCACTGGGATGGGCTTTCCCATGTCACTGGTGTCACTGGGATGGGCCATACTCCCAGTACTGGGAGCAATGGGTCCTGCTAAGCCATATTACTGGTGTGACTGGGAGCACTGGGGGCTGGAGGGCAGGTGGCACTGGGGTTACTGGTGCTCCTGGGAGCGCTGGGATGTGCTGTGCTGGGGATGGACTGTGCTGTGTCACTGGTGTCACTGGGATGGACTGTGCTGTGTCACTGGTGTCACTGGTGTCACTGGGATGGACTGTGCTGTGTCACTGGTGTCACTGGGAGCACTGGGATGGACCACACTGGGGTTCCTGCGCACCGAGGGTCAGCCTGAGGCACGTTACTGGTGTCACTGGGAGCACTGGGAACCCTTCCCTCTCGGTTGTTTGGTTTCCATGGCGACTCCCCAAACACGGGCGGGGGCGGCTCCCCTGGGGGGGGCGGGGAGGGCACTGGGAGAGCTGAGAGGGGCTGGGAGGGACTGGGAGGGACGGGGGGGAACTGGAGGCACTGCGGGAACAGGGGGTACTGGGGGGAAACGGGGGGTCGCTGGGGGAAGTAGGGAGGGACTGGGAAGGTACTGGGGGAACTGGGGGGCACTGTGGGAGACTGGAGGAACTGGGTTGCACCGGGAGGCTCCATAGGCGGCTCTGGGGAAACCGTGGGGATTGGGGGACTGAGGGGGACTGGGAATCACCGGGAGTTACTGAGCGGGTCACTGGGGGTGACTGGAGAGTCGCTGGGGGTTACTGGGAGGTGCTGTGGTTTGGGATGTCTGTGTGTCTGCAGGAATGTCCCCCGGGTGTCCCTCATGTCCCCCACAACTGTGCCTGTGTTGCCATGGGTCTCCCTGTGCCCCCCTCGTGTGTGTCGCCGTGTCCCTCAGGTGTCTCCAGAGATGTTCCTGTGTCCCCTGCTGGTGTGCATGTATCCCTGAGGATGTCCCCAGTGGTGTCCCCACTGTGTACGGGTGTCCCCTACAGATGTCTCTCTTCCCCCTCTGTGTCGCTGGGGTGTCCTCCAAGATGTCCCTGTCCCCCTGCATCCCCCCACCGGTGTCCCCTGTGCTTCATGTGTATCCCTTGTGTGACCCCAGGGTGTCTCCCCGTCCTCCCCGTGGGTTGTTTCCCTTGGACGTCCCCGTCGCTATGTCCCTATGTCCTTTATTGGTGCCTGTGTGTCCCCATGGATGTCGCCATGGATGTCCCTGCCTGTGCCTGTGCCCTAGCTGCCTCCACAGGTGTCCCTGTGTCCCCCCCACGTGTGCCTGTGTCCCGCCATGGGTGTCCCCACAGCTGTCCCTGTGTCTCTCCACGGTGTCTGTGTTCCCTCTGGGTGTCCCCATGTCCCCCTGCTTTCCCCCAGGACGATGCCGGTGACCCTGGAACTGCGGCTGCTCCTGCTGGCACTGGCGCTGCGGGGGGAGGCAGTGTCCCCCTCCGTGTCCCCCTCCGTGTCCCCCTCAGCGTCCCCTGCCACGTCTCCCCCCGAGTCGCCCTCCGAGCCGTGCGGGGCGGCGCTGGCGGATGTGCTGAGGCGGCTGCGGGAGCTCGAGGGACACGTGCAGGCACTGAGGGGACACTGTGGGGACAAGGGGGGACCCCAGGCCGGGACAGGTAACAGGGGACAAGTGGGGAGAACACGGGGGAGCCCCAGGCTGGGACAGGGGAACACAGGGAGGGGGACACAGGGGACATGGGGGAACATGGGGCTCATGGGGACAGTGAGGGGACATGGCAGAACCCGAGGCTGGGACAGGTAACAGAGATTAGTGACACGGAGGGGACACAGGGGCAGGCGAGAATGAGGGACAGGCGGGACATGGGGGGTCACTGGGGAGTCATTGGGGGGTCCTTGGGGAGTCACTGAGGTGGTTATTGGTGGGGACATTGGGGTCATGGTGGTCCTTGTGGTCATTGGGGGCATCAGTCAGGTCCAGCTGGGGGTCAGTGGGTGTCACTGCTGGGGTCACTGGGGTGTCACTGCTGGGGTCGGGGGGGTTACTGAGGGGTCAGTGGGTGTCACTGCTGGGGTCACTGGGGTGTCACTGCTGGGGTCGGGGGGGTTACTGAGGGGTCAGTGGGTGTCACTGCTGGGGTCACTGGGGTGTCACTGCTGGGGTCGGGGGGGTTACTGAGGGGTCAGTGGGTGTCACTGCTGGGGTCACTGGGGTGTCACTGCTGGGGTCGGGGGGGTTACTGAGGGGTCAGTGGGTGTCACTGCTGGGGTCATGGGTCACTGGGGGGAGCCGGGGGCACGGGGAGGGTCCTGGGTGTCGGGGGGAGGGGCCCGGGTGGCCTGGAGGGGACACCCAGAGGTGCCACCGCCCCCAGGACCCCCCCCGGGCTGGCCGTGGGGTGACCCCGCCCCCAGCCCGGGACCCCCGGCACCCCCAGTGTCCCCCCCGGGACTCCCAGTGTCCCCCCCGGGAGCCCCCAGGCCGCGCTGCAGCGGGGACCAGCCCGGGGTGAGTGCGGAACTGGGAGCACTGGGGGGAACTGGGAGCACCGGGAGGGCTTGAGGAGCACTGGGAGCACTGGGGACACTGGGAGGGGACGCTGGGAAGTTGCTGGGAGGTTACTGGGATGTTACTGGTGGCACTGGGAGGGCACTGAGGGTCACTGGGACGCTACTGGTGGCACTGGGAGGTCACTGGGAGGTCACTGGTGGGTGACGGGGGGGGTCTCTGCCAGGGTCAGCGGGGGTCACTGGGAGGTCACTAGGGGTGTAAAAGGGGGCCAGTGCAAGTCACTGGCAGCCATCAGGGTCACTGGGAGGGTCACTGGGAGGGGTCACTGGGGGATCGGTGGGGGTCACTGGGGGTGTCACGGCTGGGGTCAGTGGGAGGTGATTGGGGGTGTAGAAGGGGGCCGCTGAGAGTCGCTGGGGTGTCGCTGGGGGTCACTGGGGGGTCGCTGGGGGTCACCCCTGTGTCCGTGTCCCCCCAGGCCGCTCGGTGCAGCTCTGTGCGCCCCCTGCCGGCGGCGGCTGCGCCTGCCCCGCCCGATACCCTCCGTGCCCCCGGTACCCCCGGTACCCCCGGTGCCCCCGGTACCTCCGGTATCCCCGGTACCCCCGGTACCCCCGATACCCCCGGTACCCCCAGTGCCCCTCGGTAACCTCCCGTCTTCCCCACCTCGTGCACCCCGTGGGGCGCCCGCGCGTGCCCCTGGATGGGAGGGGAACCTGCTGTGCCGTCGGCGGCTCCCCAGTGCTCCCGGTGCCCCCCAGTGCTCCTCCAGTGACTTCCTAGTGCTGCCACCTCAGTGCTCCCAATGTTCCCCCTCCTCCCCTCCTGCGTGCACCAATGCTGTGTGCAACCCTGCTGTGGCACCAATGCATACTCAAGTGTTCGCCAGCGCCCTTCAGAGTTCCTGCAGTGCTCCCATCCCAGTGCTCCCAGTACACCCCCGCTGCTCTCCCCATCCAGACGGGCTCTCGTGCCACCTCAGTGTGTCCCCAGGTGTCCCGGTGTGCCACTCCCAGTGCCCCATACCTGAGTGGCCCCATCCCGTTGTGTCCCCAGCGTGTCCTAGGGTGTTCCCAGCATGTGTCCATCCCCTACACACCCCATCCCAGGGTGTCTCTGTGGTGTCCCCATCCCACGGATGTCCCCATGGTGTCCCTGCACTGTCTCCTCAGAGGTGCCCTGGGTGACACCACGGTTGGCCTCCCGCACCCCAACGTCCCTGCGCATCACCTGGCCCCAGCCCCTCGTTCCTCCTGATGGCTACCGGGTGACACTTGTCCCCCTGGTGAGTAGGACACTGGAGACATGTGGGTGGGGGCACGGGGATGGGACAGGGACAGGAGGGGACACACAGGGGAACAGGGACATGGAAGGGACAAGACCCCAGTGCCACCCGTGTGGCCACAATGGGAAGACCCCAGTATGTCCCGAAATCATCCCCATGTGTCCCCAAGGCGTCCGCAATGGTATCCCCTACGTGTTCCAAGTGTGTATAAGCCCCCACAATGTGTCCCAAACATGTGCCCAGTGCATCCCCCCAGCGTGACCCCAACGTGACCCCAGTATGTCCCAGTGTGTCCCCAGTGTTCCCTGTTGTGTCTCCACCACGTTCCTGGTGTGTTCCCATGGCGTCCCCAATGTATCCCTCAACACACTCCCAATGAGTCGCCACTCTGTCCTCACTGTGTCCCCAACATGTCTCCAATGTGTCCCTCACGTTCCCAACACGTTCCTAAGGTGTTCCCAGTGTGTCCTCAATGTGTCCCCAGTGTCTCCCCGTGGTTTCCCCCCATCCCCTCACACTGTCCCCGTCCCCAGGATGACCCTGTGGCCATGACAACGCACGAACTGCCCAGCTCTGCTGTCGCCTTCTCAGTGACAGGGCTGTCTCCAGGCCGCCCCTTCGAGCTGCTGGTCCAGGCCCGGCGGGGGCCGCACCTGGGGGCACCCGGGGTCCTGCGTCTGCGCACAGGTGGGGACACTTGGGGACACCACAGGGAACAGGGAAGGGGGTGGGGCGACAGGAACAGGGGTGAAGGTGGGAGTGGCATGGGGATGAGGATGGAGAGAGCCTGGGGTCCTGCACCTGTGCACAGGTGGGGACGCCTGGGAACAAGGCAGCGGGCACAGAGATGAAGTTAGGGACACAGCAGGGACAGGAATGGGAGTGGGGGTGGAAGGAAAGGCAGGGGGACAGTGGGTGGCATGGGGACAGGGACAGGGACATGGTGTACAGGCAGTGGGAATGGGGATGGCACAGGGATGGGGACAGTGATGACATGGGGTCACCATGGGGGCAGGGACAGCAAGAGGACAAGGATGGGGTGGGGGCTGGCATGGGCATGGAGACAGTGGTAGCACAGTGACACCGTTAAGGGGACAGCCTAGATGTGTGGTCAGGAGCGTCACAGCGTGGTGACAGCATGGGGACAGTGTGACATTGAACAGAGATGGGCTGGCACAAGGATGGGGTTGGGGATGGCGATGGCAAAATCAAGGGGGTGGGGACAAGGATGGGAACAGGGATGCCAGGGAAAGAGGGATAGGGTTATATCCACAGGCATGGATACAGGGGGTAACATGGACATGGGGACAGGGGTGGGGATGACCCAGGGATTGGGACAGGGATGTCTCCCAGGGACTCTCTTGACAGATTGGTGACATGGGTCCCCTTTGTTCCACAGCACTCATCCCGTCTGTGCCTCACTATGAGGGGTCCCCAGGGTCGCCTCAGGGCTCCCTGGGGTCCCCAGCAGTGGCACCATCAGTCCGAGGGCCCCCAGAGTCCCCAGGATCCCCAGGGTCCCTGGGGTCCCCAGGGTCACAGGTGTCACCCATATCACCAGACTTGTCCTTGGGGTCACCCGGGTCTTTGGGGTCACCAGCACCCCACAAGGTTCCAGCATCTCCAGTAGCTCGAGGGTCCCTCGGATCCCCAGCACCTGCAAGGTCATCAGTGTCACCAGAATCCCCAGAGTCACCAGCATCACCAGAATTCCCAGGATCATCAGTGTCACCAGATTTCTCAGTGTTCCCAGAGTCCCCAGAGTCTCCATTGTCCCCAGAGTCCCCAGAGCTGCCATGGTCCCCAGAGTCCCCAGTGTTTCCAGGGTCTCCTCCACCCCCGTGGTCCCCAGTGTCCCCGTGGCCCCCACTGTCCCCAGGCATCCCCTCCCTGCAGGACCTGGTGGCCCGGCTCTCCACGTACAGTGGATCCCTGCTCCAGCGTCTTGAGAGCCACCTTCGGGCCACCAACTTCCCACTCCGTGGCAACCAGACAGTGCCAGGGGTGGCCCGTGCCATCCTGGCCTACATCCTGCGCCGGCACCCAACCCTTGGGAGAGGACAGGGACCCACAGGTGGATGTCACAGAGGGGACTGAACCAGGAGGGTGTGGGGACACTGGGGAGGGAGAGGGGGGAAAGGATGCCTCAGGGATGGAGGGTGCAAGGGGAGGGATATCCTGGAGAGAGGAACAGGGGGAATGGGGAGAAAGGAACATCACAGTGAGGGGAGTGCAGGGAGGTGGTTGGGGAGATTGTGGGAGTGGGACAGGACAGGGAAGGGACATTCCAGGGAGGGTGGGATGGAAGGGATGGGAGAAGGGGAACAGGGAAGATGGGGAGGATGGGTGGAAGGGACATCCTGAGAAGGATACAGGAATCAGGGGGAAGGACGTCCTGGGGAGGGAAATGAGAGAGATGGGGTGGCGGGGCTGTCCTGTAACACACTCTCTGGGGGCAGGGGAAAGTGGAAACCAGGAGCCAGTGCTGGAATGGGGGGACATGGATGGGATGAAGCTGACAGAGCCATGGACGGACGTGGGGAAAACAGGTACTGATGTGGGGGTGATGGATGGGATGAGTGCAGGTGTTGCACTTGATGACCCTTGTGGGTCCCATCCAATTGAGAAGATTCTGTGATACCTGGGATGGAGAGAGGAGGAATGGATGGATGGATGGATGGATGGATGGATGGATGGATGGATGGATGGATGGATGGATGGATGGATGGATGGCACATGGATTGGAGAGATGGAGAGCCTGATGAATGGAGACATGAATGGAGGAGGGGATGGAGGGATAAGGGAGGGATAGATGGAGGGAGGGCTGGAAACATGGGTGGCCATGTGAATGGACAGACAGATGCCTGTGCCCACGCTGTTCCCTCTCCATTGCAGTCAAAACCGAGCCAGAAGAGCTGCATCCATCCCGGCCAGTCCTGGGTGACCTCAGTGTCACCAGCATCACCCCCAGCACCATGCAGCTGCAGTGGAATGTCCCTGAGGGCTCCTTTGACTCCTTCATGCTGCAGTACCGGGATGCCCAGGGCCAGCCCCAGGCTCTGCCCATCGATGGCAGGTCCCACTCAGTGACAGTGCCGGGGCTGTCCCCATCTCACCGGTACCGCTTCCACCTCTATGGGCTGCGGGGTGAGAAGAGGATCGACCGTGTCTCCATTGATGTCATCACAGGTGAGGGTGGATGGATGAATAGATGATGGATGGAGGGATCAATATATCCCATCCCATCCCATCCTCACCTGCTATCAAGAACCCACTGACACCATCATCACCCATCATCATCCATCGTCCATCACCCATCCGTCCAGCCAAGCTGTCCCCAGTTTCCCCCAGTCCCAAGTGTGCCAGCTTGGGGATGGAGGACGGGTAACAGCACAATAGGGTGGATAGATGGCTGGATGGAGGGAGGGAAGGCAGGAAGGAAGGCAGGAAGGAAGGCAGGAAGGAAGTGGTGGAAGGAAGGAAGGAAGTGGTGGAAGGCAGGAAGGAAGTGGCAGAAGGAAGTGGCGGAAGAAGTGAAGGAAGGAAGGAAGGAAGGAAGGAAGGAAGGAAGGAAGGAAGGAAGGAAGGAAGGAAGGAAGGAAGGAAGGAAGGATGGTGACTATGATGGGTAATGATGGACGGTGATGATGATGATGAATGGTGAATGGATGATGGGTGTTGGGGAAATTTGCTGGAGGTTTGATGTATCGAATCAGTGGTTAGGTGGCTGGATGATCCAAATGAGGGAGACGTTAAAGAATCAATTGAAAGGAAAGGTGCCTGCAAAGAACCGTGCTTAAGTGGATGAGATGACAATGAAAGCCAGAATGAATGATCCAGGACATGAAAGTGTGGATGGGTGTTCAGATGGACACACCTATCACCATCCCCTCTCCATCATAGCTGCAGAAGAGCCAGAGGAGCTGTCCTTGCCCTCAGAGGAGCCCCAAGAGGAGAAGTCCCAAACTGAGGCCCCTGCATCTGATGCATCCCCAGCACAGGCAGCACTGGGGGAGCTGAGAGTCACCAGCATCAGCCCTGGCTCTGTGCAACTGCAGTGGAGCATCCTTGAGGGCTCCTTTGACTCTTTCATGCTGCAGTACCGGGATGCCCAGGGCCAGCCCCAGGCCCTGCCTGTTGATGGAGAGTCCCACTCAGTGACAGTGCCAGGGCTGTCCCCTTCCCGGCGGTACCGCTTCCACCTCTATGGGCTGAGGGGCAGGAAGAAGATTGATCATGTCTCCACCGAGACCATGACAGGTAAGGGGAATGGTCAGAGGGGGTAGGGTGGGTAGATGGATGGATGAAGAATGATGGGTAGGTGGAAAGATGGAGGGATCAAGGGATGGAGGATTGGGTGGGTTGAGGAAGACGTGGAGGAGGTGCAATAGTGGATGGATGGATGGATGGATGGAGCATCATAGTTGTTGGGGGCATTTTCTTGGTGGTTTGACATATCAGAGCAGTGACTGGGTGGTTGGATGACCCAGTACAACGTGAGATTAAAGAAGGAGTTGAAGGAAAAGGTGTATGGTATCTTTGTGAATGAATGGATGGGTTGGTTGGTGGGTGGTGGATGTTTGCATGGACACTGCCATTCCCACACCCATCACTATCCACTGTCCACCACAGCTGCAGCAGAGACAGAGGAGCAGCCCCTGCCCTCACAGAAGCCCCAACATAAAAAACCTCGAACTGAGTCCCCAGCATCTGAGGCACCCCTTCTGCAGGCGGTGCTGGGAGAGCTGAGAGTCTCCAGTGTCACACCCAGCTCTGTGCAGCTGCAGTGGAATGTCCCTGAGGGCTCCTTTGACTCCTTCATGCTGCAGTACCGGGATGCCCATGGCCAGCCCCAGGCCCTGCCCATCGACGGGAGGTCAGACTCAGTGATGGTGCCAGGGCTGTCCCCATCTCACCGGTACCGCTTCCACCTCTACGGGCTGCAGGGTAGGAAGAAGATTGACCATGTATCCACTGAGGCTGTGACAGGTGAGGGAGAAGGTCAGGGGGATAAGGGTCCATAGAGGGAGGGATTAAGGGATGAGGGTATGGGTGGGTGAAGGAAGGGGTAGAGAGGTGCAGGAGTGGAAAGATGGAGAATGGATGGATGGATGGATGGATGGCTGGATGGATGGATGGATGGATGGATGGATGGATGGTGTTTGGATGGATTGCATGGATAGATCCACAATTAAGGTGAGACATGGATGCATTGATGGATGGATTGTTGAATGGACAGAGGAAGAGATGAGGAATGGGTGGATGATTGAAAATGAATGGTGGTTCCTGAGTGAGTTAGTTGGTTGGGTAGATTGAAGGGTAGGGAGATGGTGGGGAATGCATGGATAGTGATGGATGATATATCGATGGAGGGTGGCCTCCTGGGTCGATTGGATGGATGAATGCTGAAGGACACATGGCTGGACAGGTGCACATGCAGCTGAGCCCATGGCTGGTTTTTGCCCTGAGTGAGGGTGTGATTATAGGGGAACAGGGGTGTAAGACTGTATTCAAACCATATTCAAATAGGGTTGTATTCAAAGACTGACTGAAGGAAACAAGATGGATGGATAAGTGAATGGATGAAGATGGATAATGGATGATAGCTGTTGGAGCAGTTTGACCGTGGTTTTACATGTCAGATCAGTGGGGGGGGTAGTTGGATGACCTAATGCATGGTGAGATTAAAGGAGTTGAAGGAAAATGTGCTTGGTATAAACTGTAGTTACATGGACGGGTATATGATGAGTGCTGGAATGAATAGTCCTGCAGATAAAAGTGTAAATGGAAGGATGTATGCATTGATTGGTGGGCAGGGGGATGGATGACTGAAGGGGCCACAGGGATTGCCATGCCATCATCCATTGCAGGCGCAGAAGAGCCCGAGGAGATACTCCTTCCCTCAGAAGAGCAAAAACATGAGAAACTTCAAACTGAGAAGCCCCCATCTGAGGCCCCCATGGTGCAGGCAGTGCTAGGGGAGCTGAGAGTTTCCAGTGTCACACCTGACTCTGTCCAGCTGCAGTGGAGTGTCCCTGAGGGCTCCTTTGACTCTTTCACACTACAGTACCGGGATGCCCAGGGCCAGCCCCAGGCCCTGCCCATTCATGGAGGGTCCCGATCAGTGACGGTGCCAGGGCTGTCCCCATCCCGCCGGTACCGCTTCCACCTCTATGGGCTGAGGGGCAGGAAGAAGACTGACCGTGTCTCTATTGACATTATCACAGGTGAGATGGGAGGTCAGTGACATGGATGGATGGATGGATGGATGGATGGATGGATGGATGGATGGATGGATCAAGAGATCCCACTCCCATTCCATCCCCGAATGTCAGTGAGCATCCACTGACATGGGCACTGTCCAATCAACCATTGACCCTTCCACTGTCCTGCTGACCAACATTTGCCATCCACTATTATCACCATCATCATAATCATCATCATCCATTTATTATCCATCATTATAATCCATAATTTTTATCTACCATGTATGAGCACTACTGCCATCATCATCATTTATAAATCATTATCATCATTCATCAGTCATCTTCCATCCATCTATTCTTCCATCCACTTCATCTGTCAATGATAGATGGACAAATGAACAGAAGATTGTCCACGGGAAATGGGGTCGGGAGGAACAGAGGTGTGGAGGGATGTAGGAAGCAAGAACGAGAGCTCAATGGATTTGGGTGGAGGTTGGGATGGATGGATGGATGGATGGATGGATGGATGGATGGATGGATGGATGGTCTGGTAAGTAGTGGGATGGACATTTGGAGGGACACAGGCATTTCCACAGTCATCACCATCCTCATCCTCTATCCATGATGAATGGATTGAATGATGCATGAATGAAAGATTGTCTATGGGAAATGGGAGTGGGAAGGGTAAAGGCAAGGAGAGATGTGATTACAAAGAGACTGAGAGATTGATATGGAATTGTCTAGGAGATAGTGCTGTATGTTGAGTGTGTGATGGGAAGAATGGATGGATGGATGGATAGATGGATGGACGGACGGACGGACGGACGGATGGATGGATGGATGGATGGATGGATGGATGGATGGATGGATGGATGGATGATCAGATGGATGGACACATGGGTGAATGGATAGATTGGGTGGTGGGTGGTGGGATGGACATTTGGAGGGACATGTGGATGCCCCTGCTTTTTACAATTTCCTCTCCAATGCAGCTAGTGAAGAACCCTTGCCCTCAGAGGAGCCCCAACAGGAGAAGCCCAAAACTGAGTCCCCAGCATCTGAGGCACTCCCAGCAAGAGCAGTGCTGGGGGAGCTGAAGGTCTCCAGTGTCACAGGCGACTCTGTGCAGCTGCAATGGAATGTCGCAGAGGGCTCTTTTGACTCCTTCATGCTGCAGTACCGGGATGCCCAGGGCCAGCCCCAGACCCTGCCAATCGATGGAGAGTCCCGCTCAGTGATGGTGCCAGGGCTGTCCCCTTCCCAGCGGTACCGCTTCCACGTCTATGGCCTGAGGGGCAGGAAGAAGATTGATCACATTTCCACCGAGGTCATGACAGGTAAGGGGGGAGGAAGTCTGGGTGGATGGATGGATGGATGGATGGATGGATGGATGGATGGATGGATGGATGGATGGATGAAGAATATTGGAAAAATGGAGACATAAAATGGTGATGAGAGGGAGGAATGGGTGATTGGAGGAAGGAATGAGTGGTGGAGGAGTGGATGGATGGACAGATGGATGATGGAAGCCAGAATGAATGGTCAAGAATAAAGAAATGTGGAAGTGTGGATGGATGGATGGATGGCTATTTGAATTTAAGCTGCCATCAACATCCCTTCTCCATAGGAGCTGCAGAAGAGCCAGAGGAACTGCCCCTGCCCACAGCGGAACCGCGGCATGAGAAACCCCAAACTGAGGCCCCCCCATCTGAGGCCACTCCAGCAAAGGCGGTGCTGGAAGACCTGAGGGTCTTGAGCGTCACCCCCAGCTCTGTGCAGCTGCACTGGACTGTCCCCAGTGGCTCCTTTGACTCCTTCATGCTGCAGTACCGGGATGCCCAGGGCCAGCCCCAGGCCCTGCCTGTTGATGGGTGGTCTCGCTCGGTGACAGTGCCTGGCTTGTCCCCGTCCCAGCGGTACCGCTTCCACCTCTATGGGCTGCGTGGAGGCAAAAGGATTGACCGTGTCTCTACCGACACTGTCACAGGTGAGGCTGAAGGTCAAAGGGATGGGAGGATCACAAAATGGAGGCATCAAGGGATCCCATGCCCATCACATACTCACCAGTGAGCAGCCATTGACTCAGCGCCATCTGACCAACCATCAACCCTTCCACCAACCTATTCACTTGCCCCTTCCATCATCCAAGCATCCATCCAGCATCAGCAGCACCAACCATCATTATCTACTGTCATTCATCATCTTCCCTTACCATGCATCTCCATCACCATCCTCCATCTATTGTCATGCATCCATCTATCCTGCCATGCTTCCCTCATCCTCTATCCATGAAGGATGGATTGAATGATGGATGAATGAAAGATTGTCTATGGGAAATGGGGGTGGGAAGGGTGAAGGCATCAAGCCATGTGATTAGAAAGAGACAAAGAGATTGATATGGAATTGTCCAGGAGATAGTGTTGTATGTTGAGTGTGTGATGGGAAGAAGGACGGACGGACGGACGGACGGACGGATGGACCATCCAATGAGAGACACATGGGCGAATGGATGGCTTCATGGGTGGGTGGTGGGATGGACATTTGGAGGGACACATGAATGCCAGTGCCCATTACCATCTCTCCAATGCAGCCAGTGAAGAACCCTTGCCCTCAGAGGAGCCCCAACAGGAGAAGCCCAGAACTGAGTCCCCTGCATCTGAGGCACTCCCAGCAAGAGCTGTGCTGGGGGAGCTAAGAGTCTCCAGTGTCACAGGCGACTCTGTGCAGCTGCAGTGGAATGTCCCTGAGGGCTCCTTTGACTCCTTCACGCTGCAGTACCGGGATGCCCGGGGCCAGCCCCAGGCCTTGCCCATCGATGGCGAGTCCCGCTCAGTGACAGTGTCAGGGCTGTCCCCTTCCCAGTGGTACCGCTTCCACCTCTGTGGGTTGCAAGGCAGGAAGAAAATTGATCGTGTGTCCACGGAGGTCATGACAGGTAAGGGGAGAGGAAGGCTGGGTAGATCTGTGGATGAAGAATATTGGATATGTAGAGGATTGAAGGAATGAAGGGATGGAGGAATGGGTGGCTGCAGGAAGGGGTGGAGTGGTGGAGGAATACAGGGAAGGATGGAATGATGGATGGATGATGAAAGCCAAAATGAATGGTCCAGAATATGGAAATGTTGAAGTGTGGATGGAGGGGCTAGTTGGTAGGTGCTGGTTGGATGTTTGGATGGAAGCAGCCATCACCATGCCCTCTCCATAGGAGCTGCAGAAGAGCCAGAGGAACGGCCCCTGCCCACAGCGGAACCGCAGCATGAGAAACCCCAAACTGAGGCCCCCCCACCTGAGGCCACTCCAGCAAAGGCGGTGCTGGAAGACCTGAGGGTCTCGAGTGTCACCCCCTTCCATCATCCATCCATCCATCCAGCATCAGCAGCACCAACCATCAATTATCCCTTGTCACCCATCATCTTCATCTACCATTTATCTCCATCCCCATCATCCATCTATTGTCATGCATCCATCTATCCTGACATGCTTCCCTCATCCTCTATCCATAAAGGATGGGTTGAATGATGGATGAATGAAAGATTGTCCATGGGAAATAGTGGCGGGAGGCATGAAGGCATCAAGCCATGTGATTAGGAGGAGTCAGAGAGATTGATATGGAACTGTTTAGGGGGTTGTGTTGTATGTTGGGTGAGTGATTGGAAGAATGGATGGATGGACGGATGGACGGATGTATGAACAGATGGACAGATGGATGGACAGATGAGTGGATGGATGGATGGATGGATGGATGGATGGATGGATGGATGATCCAATGACGGTCACCTGGGTGAATGAATGGATGGATTGGTTGGTGGGTGGGGGGATGGACATTTGGAGGGACATGTGGATGCCCTTGGTTTTTTCAATTTCTTCTCCAATGCAGCTAGTGAAGAACCCTTGCCCTCAGAGGAGCCCCAACAGGAGAAGCCCAAAACTGAGTCCCCAGCATCTGAGGCACTCCCAGCAAGAGCAGTGCTGGGGGAGCTGAAGGTCTCCAGTGTCACACCTGACTCTGTGCAGCTGCAGTGGAATGTCCCAGAGGGCTCCTTTGACTCCTTCATGCTGCAGTACCGGGATGCCCAGGGCCAGCCCCAGGCCCTGCCCGTTGATGGCGAGTCCCGCTTAGTGATGGTGCCAGGGCTGTCCCCTTCCCGGCGGTACCGCTTCCACCTCTATGGCCTGAGGGGCAGGAAGAAGATTGATCACATTTCCACCGAGGTCATGACAGGTAAGGGGGGGAGGAAGTCTGGGTATAAGAATGGATGAAGAATATTGGATAAATGGAGACATAAATCGGTGATGAGAGGGAGGAATGGGTGATTGGAGGAAGGAATGAGTGTTGGAGGAGTGGATGGATGGATGGATGGATGATGGAAGCCAGAATGAATGGTCAAGAATAAGGAAATGTGGAAGTGTGGATGGATGGATGTTTGGGGCTGAGGGGCAGGAAGAAGATTGACCATGTGTCCGCTGAGGTTGTAACAGGTGAGGGAGAAGGTCAAGTGGAGGAAGGGTAGGTGGGTATATGGATGAAGAATATTGGATATATGGAGAGATGGAGGGATAAAAGAATAAAGGGACGGTTAAGTGGAAGAAGGCATGGAGTGGTGGAGGGATGGAGCAATAGAAGGATGGATGGATGGATGGATGGATGGATGGATGGATGGATGGATGGATGGATGGATGGATGATGGAAGCCAGAATGAATGGTCAAGAATAAGGAAATGTGGAAGTGTGGATGGATGGATGTTTGGATGTAAGCACCATGAACCCTTCCACCAACCTATTCACTTGCCCCTTCCATCATCCAACAATCCACCATCAGCACCAGCAACCATCAATTATCCATTCTCATCCATCATCTTCCTCTACCATTTATCCCCATCACCATCATCCATCAATTATCATGCATCCATCTTTCCTGCCATTCTTTTTTCATCATCTATCCAACAAAAATGGATTCAGTGATGGATGAATGGAAGATTGCCCATAGGAAATGGAGGAGGGAGATATGAAGGCATGGAGAGATATGATACGAACGAGGCAGAGAAGTTGATATGGAACTGTCTAGGGGGTTGTGTTATATGGTGGATGATGTGAAGAATGGTTGGATGGATGGGTGGATGGATGGATCGATGGATGGATCGATGGATGGATGGATGGATGGATGGATGGACACATGGGTGAATGGATAGCTTTCTTGGTGGATGGTGGGATGGACATTTAGAGGGACACATGGATGCCAATGCCCTTTACAATATCCTCTCCTATTCAGCCAGAGAAGTGCCCCTACCCTCAGAGGAGCCCCAACAGGAGAAGCCCAAAACTGAGTCTCCAGCATCTGAGGCACTCCCAGCAAGAGCTGTGCTGAGGGAGCTGCGAGTCTCCGGTGTCACAGCCGACTCTGTTCAGCTGCAGTGGAATGTCCCTGAGGGCTCCTTTGACTCCTTCATGCTGCAGTACCGGGATGCCCGGGGCCAGCCCCAGGCCCTCCCTGTTGATGGGGGGTCTCGCTCAGTGATGGTGCCAGGGCTGTCCCCTTCCCGGCGGTACCGCTTCCACCTCTATGGGCTGAGGGGCAGGAAGAAGATTGACCACGTTTCCACCGAGGTTCTGACAGGTAAGGGAGAATGCCAAGAGGAGGAAGTGTGGGTGTATATATGGATGAAGAATATTGGATATATGGAGAGGTGAAGGGATTAAGGGATGGAGGGATGAACGGATGGAGGAATGGGTGATTGGTGGAAGGGATGGAGTGGTGGAGGGATGGAGGAATACAAGGATGGATGGATGGATGGATGGATGGATGGATGGATGGATGGATGGACGGACAGCAGATTTATGGCTGACCATTTTGCTGGTTTGTGACCTGGGTTTGGGAGGTGCATGGCAATAAGTGTGTATGGTGGATTGGATTCAAGGACGGACTGAAGGAAACAGGCTGGATGAAGACAGATGTTGCATGATGGTTTGTAGGGCAGATTCACGGTTGCTTGACAGATCAGATCAGATGGCTGGTTGGGTGCTTGGATGCTGGGTGCTCCTCTCACCCAAAGGAGGGTGAGATTAAAGAAGGTGTTGAAGGAAAACATGTGTGAAAAGAAATATGACTGGATGGATGGATGGATGGGTTGATGGATGTTTGCTAGAATGAATGGTCCAGAATATGGTAGTGTAGATGATTGAGTGGGTTGATATAGGTGGTGGATGGCTATTTAGATGTAAGCTCCCATCAACATCCCTTCTCCATAGGAGCTGCAGAAGAGTCAGAGGAACCGCCCCTGCCCACAGAGGAACCACAGCATGAGAAACCCCAAACTGAGGCCCCCCTATCTGAGGCCACTCCAGCAAAGGCGGTGCTGGAAGACCTGAGGGTCTTGAGCGTCACCCCCAGCTCTGTGCAGCTGCACTGGACTGTCCCCAGTGGCTCCTTTGACTCCTTCATGCTGCAGTACCGGGATGCCCAGGGCCAGCCCCAGGCCCTGCCTGTTGATGGGTGGTCTCGCTCGGTGACAGTGCCTGGCTTGTCCCCGTCCCAGCGGTACCGCTTCCACCTCTATGGGCTGCGTGGAGGCAAAAGGATTGACCGTGTCTCTACCGACACTGTCACAGGTGAGGCTGAAGGTCAAAGGGATGGGAGGATCACAAAATGGAGGCATCAAGGGATCCCATGCCCATCACATACTCACCAGTGAGCAGCCATTGACTCAGCGCCATCTGACCAACCATCAACCCTTCCACCAACCTATTCACTTGCCCCTTCCATCATCCAAGCATCCATCCAGCATCAGCAGCACCAACCATCATTATCTACTGTCATTCATCATCTTCCTCTACCATGCATCTCCATCACCATCATCCATCAATTATCATGCATCCATCTATCCTGCCATGCTTCCCTCATCCTCTATCCATGATGAATGGATTGAATGATGGATGAATGAAAGATTGTCCATGGGAAATGGGGGTGGGAAGGGTGAAGGTCTGGACAGATGTGATAAAATAGAGACAGAGAGGTTGTTATGGAACTCTCTAGGGGGTTGTGTTGTATGTTGGGTGTGTGATGGGACGAATGGATGGATGGATGGATGGATGGATGGATGGATGGATGGATGGATGGATGGACGGACGATCCAATGAAGGACCCATGGGTGAATGGATAGATTGGTTGCTGTGTGGTGGGATGGACACTTGGAGGGGCACATGTGTTGTCATGCCCTTTACTATCTTTTCTCCAACGCAGCCAGTGAAGAACCCTTGCCCTCAGAGGAGCCCCAAGAGGAGGAGCCCAAAACTGAGTCCCCAGCATCTGAGGCACTCCCAGCACGAGCAGTGCTGGGGGAGCTGAAGGTCTCCAGCGTCACACCCAACTCTGTGCAGCTGCAGTGGAGTGTCCCTGAGGGCTCCTTTGACTCCTTCATGCTGCAGTACCGGGATGCCCAGGGCCAGCCCCAGGCCCTCCCTGTTGATGGCGGGTCTCGCTCAGTGACGGTGCCAGGGCTGTCCCCTTCCCGGCGGTACCGCTTCCACCTCTATGGGCTGAGGGGCAGGAAGAAGATTGACCATGTGTCTGCCGAGGTTGTAACAGGTGAGGGAGAAGGTCAAGGGGAGGAAGGGTAGGTGGGTATATGGATGAAGAAGAATGGATAGATGGACAGATGGAGGGGTAAAAGAATGAAGGGATGGTTAAGTGGAAGAAGGCGTGGAGTGGTGGAGGGATGGAGCAATAGAGGAATCGATGGAATGATGGATGGATGGATGGATGGATGGATGGATGGATGGATGGACTCAGTGGTGTGTTGCATGTTTGGAGAGACAGGGATTCCTATGCCCATCACCCTCCCCTCTTCATTGCAGCTGCAGAAGAGCCAGTGTAGCTGCCCCTTTTCTAAAAGTAGCTCTGACCTGGGAACCCCCCATTTGACGCTTCACCACCTAAGACACCTCTTGTCTGTGAGGTTCTAGGAGTTCTAAGATTTTCCGGTGTCACCCCCCAGCTCTGTGGAGCTGTTGTGGAGTGTCCTTGAGGACCTGTTTGACTCCTTTATGCTGTAATACTGGGATGCCCAGGGCCAGCCCCAGACCCTGCTGGTCAGTGGTGAGTCCCACTCAGTTACAGTGCTGGGGCTGTCTCCCTCTCGTCTGTACCACTTCCACCCGTGTGGGCTGCATGGAGGCAAAATGATTGACCATGTCTCCACTCATGTCATAAGAGGTGACAGGAAATCTTAGAGGGGAGACCCGTTGGAGAGATGTTTGTAAAGGTGGAGAGATTGACATGGAGATGGATGGAGAGATTGATGATGGATGCATTTGTGTAGTGTTGGGTGGAATCATGAGGAGAAGGATGGACAGATGAACACAAGGATCATTGGGTGCCTGAAGAACTGGGTGGTGATGGGACCAGTGGAGGGTTGGGTGGATAGATAAATGGTAACTGAACACACCGATGAATAGGCGGGTAGCTGAAGAAGTCTTCATGGATGGACGGATTCTGGATAGTTGGGTGGATGATGGATGAATGTTTGGATGGAACTACCGATGCCCACACCCATCATTGTCCTCTCTCTGTTGTTTCTGCAGGCAACCCAGAGGATCTGCCCCCATCCTTAAAGGACCCCACAGATGAGGCATCCACAACTGAGGCCCCTACAGCTCAGGACCACAAACCTGAGCATTCCCAAACTGAGGCCCCCTCAGCACAGGCAGTGTTGGGAGAGCTGAAGGTGTCCAGTATCACACCTGACTCTGTGCAGCTGCAGTGGAGCGTCCCAGAGGGCTCCTTTGACTCCTTCACACTGCAGTACCGGGACGCCCAGGGCCAGCCCCAGGCTCTGCCCATCGATGGCGGGTTGCACTCAGTGACAGTGCCAGGGCTGTCCCCTTCCCACCGGTACCACTTCCACCTCTATGGTCTGTACAGAGGGAAAAGGATTGACCACGTTTCCATCAACGTCAGCACAGGTGAGAGGGAAAGTCAGAGGAAAGATGGGAGGAGAGATAGATGCAGGGATCGAGAGGTAGAGACATCAAGGGATGGATGAATCAAGGGTTTCCATTCCCATCCCATCCCCATCCCACATCAAGCACTTTTCTAGTCTGTCATCATCCAGTCAACCATCAATCCTTCCACTGACCTATTGAACAACATCTGCCATCATCCATCATTGTCATCGTCATCCATCATCATGATTCATCATCAGCTATCAACTATGCATGACCACCAGTAATATCCATTATCACCATCCTTCTTCATCATCATCATCATCATCATCATGATTTGCCATCCATGAAGGAGAACTGAATGGTTTTACAGATTCCAGTCTGGATGTTGGGTGGGTTCCTGTCCAAATTGAAGGAAGTAGGTGAATGGGTTGATGGGTGTTCGGGAAGGTGGGATGGATGGATGGATGGATGGATGGATGGATGGATGGATGGATGGATGGATGGACGGATGGAGGGAGGGAGGGTTCCTGCTGTCCAGATATGTGTCTTGATGGACAGAAGATTGTCAATGGGAAGTGGGGACTGGGAGGGGTGGAGTCAATGTGGGAATGTGGAGGAAAACAAACAGAGATTAATGTAGTATTGGGTGGGGGGTTGGCTTGGCTGTTGGGTGGGTGGTTGGATGGATGGATGATGGATGGATGGTAGTGATTGATGTGGTGGGAGGATGGTTGGATAGATGATGGATGGACATATGGATGAACATGTGGACAGCCACAGCCATCGCTGTCCCCTCTGCATGGCAGCCACAGACAAGCAAGAGGAGCCACCCTCCTCCTCAGAGGAGCCCCAAACTGAAGCCCCACCAACTGAGGACAACCAACCTGAGCACCCCCAAACTGAGGTCCCCCCGGTGCAGGTGGTGCTGGGGGAGCTGAAGGTCCGCCACTTCCGCCACTTCCTTCCGCCACTTCCTTCCCCAATTCCGCCATTTCTGCCACTTCCTTCTGCCACTTCCTTCCTTCCATCACTTCCTTCTGCCACTTCCTTCCCCCATCCCTGTCTTCCTCATTCCCTCCATCCACACACCTTGTCCCCATCCCACTTTGATCCTTCCTCCATTCCAGCTCCATCCATACTTCCCCACATTTCCCTGCATGATTGCACCAATTGCACCTTTCTACCATCCCATTCCCATCTGCCATTGAGTAAACGCTGACACTGGCACCATCAAATCAAACACTGACCCTTCTAATGACACAGAGACTGTCATCCTCCATCATCACCATCCATCATCCATCTGTCATCTGTCTAACATCCATCATCCATCTTTCCTCCCCCCAAACTCCCCCCATCCTACACCCCAGCACTGGGAAGCTGGAAACAGCTCAGGGTTGGAGTGATGGCAGATTGGTAGATGATGAGGATGGAGGGGTGATGGATCAGTGGATGGGGGCTCCTGGCTGGTTTGGATGGATCGATGCTGAATGCACAGGTGGCCAGATGGGAGCATGTGTGGTTGAGCCTGTGGCTGGTTTGTGCCCTGGGTAAGGGCAGGGTGTTGGGGTGGGGGTTGGGAGGTGAGGGCAGTTAAGGGGGATGGAGGAACAGAGTTTACGACTGACTGAAGAAAAGGGAATGGGTGAAGGATGGAAGAATAATGGATGGATGGATGGATGGATGGATGGATGGATGGATGGATGGATGGATGGATCCATGGATGGATCCATGGATGGACAATGATGATGGTTGTTGGGGCAGGCGGTTTCATGGATCCAGTCAACTGTTTGATTATTGAGTGATTCAATGGAGGAAGAAGCTAAAGAATCAGTTGTAGGAAAAGCCACACTGAAAGCCACGTGGTTGGATTGAGGGGTGGTGGATGATGGATACTGGAATGAATGGTCTAGGAGATGGAAGTGTGGATGGATGGATGGATGGATGGATGGATGGATGGATGGATGGATGGTTCAATGAACATGTCAATTCTCAGGCCTGAGGTCATTCCTTCTCCATCACAGATGCAGCAGTGCCAAAGCAGCTGCCCCTACCCTCACAGGAGCCCCAACCCGAAGACACACAACCTGAGCAGCCCCAAACTGAGCAGCCCCAAACTGAGCAGCCCCAAACTGAGGCCAGCCAGGGACACGTGGTGCTGGGGAAGTTGAGGGTCTCCAGTGTCACCCCCAACTCTGTGCAGCTGCAGTGGAGCGTCCCTGAGGGCTCCTTTGACTCCTTCACGCTGCAGTACCGGGATGCCCAGGGCCAGCCCCAGGCCCTGGCTGTTGATGGCGGGTCTCGCTCTGTGACAGTGCCAGGGCTGTCCCCTTCCCAGCGGTACCGCTTCCACCTCTATGGGCTGCGGGACAGGAGGAGGATTGACCGCGTCACCACTGATGTTGTCACAGGTGAGGAGGAAGGTCAGAGGGTGGAAGGATTGGGGAGATGGAAGTAGGGATGGAGAAATTAATGGAAAGATGGAGAAAAAGGTGGATTATGGATGGATGCCTGGAGGGTTGGATGGAGTCATGAGTAGAAGGATGGACATGAACATCGTTGGATGCCTGTAGAAATGGATAGTGCAAGGGTGGATGGAGGGCTGGGTACATGGGTGATGGATGACGGGGGTTGTTTGTCTGTAGGCAGATGGGACAATCATCAATCATTAAGCAGATGGTTTTTGGGACTTGTGACTGCTAGGTGATGGATGGTGATGTGGAGGGGAAGGAGCAATGGGTGGAATTGGGCAGGGAAGCTAGAGACAACTTGGAGATGAAGAGATGGCTGGGACCATGGGAGGGTGGTGTGATGAAGACATTGATGTTGGATGGATGGATGGATGGATGGATGGATGGATGGATGGATGGATGGATGGATGATGGTGGATATTGGATGAATCAAGATGATGGTTCATGTTGATTATGACAATGATGAAGATGGTGGATGATGGCAGATGCTAATCAGTGAGTCCATGGAAGAGTCAGTGGTTGATTGAATGGGGCTGGGGTAAATGGGTGCTCAGTCCATGGAAGAGTCAGTGGTTGATTGAATGGGGCTGGGGTAAATGGGTGCTCAGTGATGGGTGAGGAGGGAATGGTGAGAAGGGTCTGGGATGAAATGTTGCATGATGGATTCTAGATAGTTGGGTGGATGATGGATGAATGTTTGGATGGAAATACCGATGCCCACACCCGTCATTTTCCCCTTTCTGTCATTGTTGTAGCTGACCCAGAGGATCTGTCCCTACCCTCGATGGACACCCCAACTTGGGGCCCCCCAGCTGCGGATCATGAAACTTCACATCCCGAAGCCGAGGCCCCTCCATCTGCAGCCCCCTCGGCACGGGCAGTGTTGGGAGAGCTGAGAGTCTCCAGTGTCACACCCAGCTCTGTGGGGCTGCAATGGAGTGTCCCAGAGGGCCGATTTGACTCCTTCATGCTGCAGTACCGGTTGGCCCAGGGCCAGCCCCAGGCCCTGCCCATCGATGGCGGGTTGCACTCAGTGACAGTGCCAGGGCTGTCCCCTTCCCGGCGGTACCGCTTCCACCTCTATGGGCTGAGGGGTGGGAAGAAGACTGACCGTGTCTCCACTGACATCATCACAGCTGATGGGGAAGGTCAGAGGATTGAGGGCAGGTGGATGGATGGATGGATGGATGGATGGATGGATGGATGGATGGATCTTTGGATGCCCATGTCCATCATTATCCCCTTTCCACTGCAGCTGCAGCTGTGCCAGAGGAGCTGCCAGTGCCCTCAGAGGAGCCCCAGAATGAACAACACCAAACTAAGGCCCCATCTGCAACCACCCCAGCACGGGCAGTGGTGAAGGAACTGAGAGTCTCCAGTGTCACACCCGACTCTGTGGAGCTGCAGTGGAGAGTCCCTGAGGGCTCCTTTGACTCCTTCACGCTGCAGTACCGGGATGCCCGGGGCCAGCCCCAGTCCCTGCCCATTGATGGCGAGTCCCGCTCAGTGACAGTTCCGGGGCTGTCCCCTTCCCAGCGTTACCGCTTCCACCTCTATGGGCTGCGGGGCAGGAAGAGGGTCTACCATACCTCCACTGAAGCTGTTACCGGTGAGGGGAATGGTTAGAGCAGCAGATGGATCACAGTATGAATGGATTAAGAGATCATGGCCATCTCATCTCTACCTGCCATCTATTACCACAGATCCCAGCACAAGCCAATCAATCATCAACCCTTCTACCAACCTATTGACCAGCACCTGCCATCCTCCACCATCATTTTCATCATCCTCTTTATCTATCATCCATCATCATCACCATCATTATTATCATCTTCCATCATGATCATGATGATTGAAGAACTGAATGGTTGAATGGATTCTGGACTGGATTGTGAGTGGATTTCTTCCCAGGGTGATGGAAGAAGGTCAGAGATGGATGAGTGTTTGGATGGAACTGGGAAGTAGAGAGGGATGGTGCATTCCTGGTGGGTGGTTAGATGTCCTGAAGGATGGAAGATTGCCCATGGGAAATGGGTGATGGAAGAGGTGAAAGCTTGAGTGGATGTAGAGAGAATTGGAGAGATGATCGCAGGATTGTTTAGGGCATTGGGTTGGATGTTGGGTGAGATGGATGGAGACATGGATGGATGGATGGATGGATGGATGGATGGATGGATGGATGGATGGATAATGAATGATGACTCATTTTGTGGATGATGAATGCAGTTTTGGATGGACATGTGGATAGCCATCACCATCTCCTCTTCATTGCAGCTGCAACAAACTTGGATGAGCTACCCATGCCTTCAGAGGAGTTCCAACCTGAGGACCCCCAACCTAAAGATCCCCCAGCTGAGTCCCCATCAACTGACGCCCCCTCGGCACGGGCAGTGCTGGGGGAGCTGGAGGTCTCCAGTGTCACAGGCGACTCTGTGCAGCTGCAATGGAATGTCCCTGAGGGCTCCTTTGACTCCTTCATGCTGCAGTACCGGGATGCCCAGGGCCAGCCCCAGGCTCTGCCCATCGATGGAGAGTCCCGCTCAGTGACGGTGCCAGGGCTGTCCCCTTCCCGGCGGTTCCGCTTCCACCTCTATGGGCTGAGGGGAGGGAAAAGGATTGACCGTGCCTCTACTGACATCGTCACAGGTGAGGGGGAAGGTCAGAGGGGTGAGGGTGGGTGAATGAAGGGGTGAAGGATGATAGATGGAGGGAGAGATGGAGGGAGCAAGTGATGGAGGAACATGTTGGCGAATGAAGGATATCGAGAGGTACAGGAGTGAGTGGATGGAGGATTGATCAACTGATGGATGGAGGGCTCCTGAATTGGTTGGTTGGTTGCTCAGTGGATGGATGGATGGATGGATGGACAGTGGATGACTGGCTGAGCCTATGGCTGGTTTGTGCCCTGGGTGAAGGAGTGGTTGAGTGGAGGGGGGAAGGGTTAGATGGAGGAATGGATTCAAGGACTGACTGAAGTTACAAAGATGGATGGATGTTAGATTGGTGATGGATAATGGACAGATAAAGATGGATGATGCATGATGAGTGTTGGGGCAATTTATTGGCGGTTTGATGCGTCAGGTCAGCAGTTGGATGATTGGATGATCCAATGGAGGAAAAGGTTAAAGAATCAGTTGATGTAAAAGGTGCATGGAATGAAACATGATTGGATGGATGGATGGATGGATGGATGGATGGATGGATGGATGGATGGATGGATTCTCACACGTATCATCATCCTATCTCCATTGCAGCCACAGCCAAGACAGAGGAGCTGCCCCTGCCCTCAGAGGAACCCCAACCTGAGGACCCCAAAGGAAAAGACCCCCCAGCTGAGGCCACTCCATCTGCGGACCCCCTGGCACGGGCAGTGCTGGGAGAGCTGGAGGTCTCCAGTGTCACCCCCAGCTCTGTGCAGCTGCAGTGGAATGTCCCTGAGGGCTCCTTTGACTCCTTCACGCTGCAGTACCGGGATGCCCAGGGCCAGCCCCAGGCCCTGCCCATCGATGGCGGGTCCCGCTCGGTGATGGTGCCAGGGCTGTCCCCTTCCCCGCGGTACCGCTTCCACCTCTACGGGCTGAGGGGAGGGAAAAGGATTGACCATGTCTCCACTGAGGCCATCACTGGTAAGGGGCTGCAAGGACTCCCCCAGAGCCCCACAGAGAAAGGAGCTGGAGTGGAGACAGGGCTGGAAGTGGGGCACAGCGGGAGCTGGGAGGAACTGGGGAATGGGGCTGTGCTGGGGGAGCCAGAGAAATGAGGGGGAGTGGGGAGGCTGGGGGGCCCTGAGGACTGGGGGATTTAGAGGAAAGTGGGAACTGGCGGCAACCAGGGATTGGAGGGGACTGGAGATGAGGGGGAGTGCCACACCTGGAGGGACTCTGATCAGCTGGGGGCTGAGGAACTGGGAACAGCTAGGGGGACTGGTTAGAACTGGGGCCTGGGGCAATCGCGGGCCTGGATGAAACTGTGTGGAACTGGGGAATGGGGGAAACTGGGGTGAACTGGGGCTGGGGTGGAGCTGAGGGCTGGCAAAGACTGAGGGAATCTGGGCACTGGGAAGAATTTTGGGGGTATTGCATATCTGTGGGAATCTGTGAACTGGGAGGGACTGGGGACTTGGGGGAACTGGAAGAATATGGGGGATTAGTTATTGGGGTGGCTGAGGGCAATTTGAGAGTTGGGGGGGATTGGGAAAGCTCAGTGGGGACCAGGGAGAACAGTGGGGAACTGAGACTAGAGGGGGATTGGGAGTAGCTGGGACTGAGGGTACTTGGGAGAACTGGGGGAAACTGGGAGCTGGGGGTAGCCAGAGGACTGCAGGGAACTGGAGATTAGGGGCAATGTAGCACTGGGAACAACTGGCAGGAGAACTGGGGACTGGGGGAACTGGAGGAACTGGGGACAACTTGGGACAACTGGGGGGTGTGGGGAACTGGGGGAAACAGGAGACTGGGGTGAACTGGGGACTCAGAGGCCTGGGGGCAACTGGGAGGGGATTGTGAGGCACTGGGGGAACTGGGTCTGGGAGGAAGTGAAGGGAACTGTGGACTGAAGGGACTGGGAGAAACAGGTCTGAGGGAGATTGAGGGGAGCTGGGAATGGGGGTGACTGGAGAATGAGGGGAAACTGGGTCTGGTGGGGACTGGAGACTAGAGTGGAGCTGGGGACTGGTGAGTACTGGGGGAAACTGGGCACTGGGAAGAACTCTGAGAACTGGGGGAATCTCCGGCAGGCATTGGGGGAAACTGGGGCCTGAGGGTGACTGGGGGAGGACTGGGAGAAATGAGGGGGAACTGTGGCATCTCCATTGGGTACGGTGTGTGGGCAGGACTGGGGGGTCTGTGGGAGGGTTTGGGGTATCAGTGGGTTTGGGGGGGGGTTGTAGTGGCAACAGTGGTTTTTGGTGTATCACTGGGAGATTTTTGGATGTCAGCTGGGCCATCTGAGGTGACAGCATTGTGACCTTCCCCAGGCGCCCCAGGGACCCTCTGGGTGGGCTCTGTGTGGCCCCGCAGTGCCTGGCTGCACTGGGACACCCTGCAGGCCCCCCCTGATGGCTATGAGCTGGAGTATGGCCCCCCCGGCGGACCCCAGCAGGTAACAGTCCCCCAAAGGATCCTAAAAAACCCCAAACACCCAGGGTGTCCCCCTAGTATCTCCTTGGGGGACCCCATAATCCCCTGGATTCCTTCAAGTATCCCAATAACACCCCTGGGGACCCCAATAACACCTAAGGGTATCCCATTACCCTCCTTTGGCAATGGCACCCCAATACACCTCGGGGGGACCCCAGTAATGCCTTTGGGCATGTCCGTACCTCCCCGGGGACTCCACTATCCCCCTGGGATACCCCAATACCCCTTGTGCCCCCAGAGCCTGTGGCTACCTCCTGAGGCTACATCACAGCAGCTGTGGGGGCTGGAGCCGGCAGGACACTATGGGGTGCGGTTGTGGGGCCGAGGGGGAGACCCCCAGACAGCCCCCCTCGAGGCCACCTTTGACACTCGTGAGTGGGGGGAGCCAGGGGGTGTGGAGGGGTCATTAGGGGGGTGCCCCGGGACCCCCGGGTCCTTTTGTGGGGGGTGGGGTTATTGGTGGGGGAAGCTATGTCACCTGGGGGAGGGCTGGAACTTTGTGGGGTATCTGGACCCCCGGGTGCTTTTGGTAACCCACTCTCT